GAAGCATGCCGCCCGACATCCTCCTGATGCGCATCACGGGGATGATCCGCGCGATCAGCATGCTCTCGACCTGCGACAGGCACTTGAGCCATGACGGGGCGACGCGGAGGTGCATGTCGTTGTGCCGCATAGCGTCTGCGGGCGGCCCGAGGTCGTCCGGCAGGACGGTGCGCACACCCGAGAAGAGCTGGCAGCGGCCGCGCGACTCGCGGCGCCGGTGCTTCCGGCAGTCGGTGCACACGTAGAGCAGGCGACGGAGGTGGCGCCAAGCCAGCTCATCAGGCGACGCGCGCCACACGCTGAGCGAAACGGGCGGCGTGCCTTCCGGCCGGAGCGGCGGCTCCACGGCCGGAGTGCACATTAACATCGGACGGCACGTGTCGCAGACGTGGCAGCGCCTGCGGCACTGGGCGGCGCAAGAGTGAGGGGGACGGGTGCACTCGCCGCACCGCCGCCGCACCGCTTAACGCGCACCGGACGCGGTGCAGCTGCTCGCCGGCCTCAAAGGCGACGCCCGCCTCGCGCACGCGCGGGTTGGAGTGGGCGGAGGCGTCGCCGAGCACGCGGTCGATGGCCTCGTCGCACACTTCAAAGCCGCCGCTGCCGAGGGGTGGAGGGAAGGGGACGGAGGAAATGGTCGGATGCGATGGTGGCGGCTGAGAGCGAGGGCTAGTGGCGGTGGCTATGGTGGCCTCTCCGCCCGGGGAGAAGAGCGCATCATGCAGGGCGTGGTGTGCTAGACGTGAGCGGCACATATGTGTGTGCCCGTCGCCGTCAGCGGCTCCGTCGGGGACGGCAGCCCGGCGGATGCCGTCGCCGCCGGCCGGCGTCGACGACCCGAAGACAGTGCGCAGCTCGCGGTCGCGGAGCGACAGCTGGCAGCCTGCCCACTGCGCTCCGAGTCGTTGCCGCAGCACGCGGAGGTTGCCGACGTACGAGAGCAGAGTGGCGTCGGTGTGCGTCACCTTGTAGCGCGAGACGGCGACTACGCAACCGAGGGAAAGGGGGGGGGGGGGGTGAGCAAGCACCGCCGGCGTGCAGCGAAACGGGGCGAGCGTGCGCGACCCTGACGCTCGGCGCGAGGCGGCGTCTCCTCTCCGCCCTCCATCAGGTAGAGCGCGGCGGCCCACGAGCGGAGAGAGGCCTCATCGAGCCGGTCGGAAGCGACCGAGCTCGTCACCACCCCGGTCGCCTGCGCGTGCTCGTACGCGTCTCGTGCGACCTGCCTCGCGGCCAGTCCAAAGAAGTCCCTCGTCGTCGCGCCGGCGGCCGCCGCCGCCGGCAGTGGAGGCGGGTCGACGTGCGGCTGCGGCTGCGGCGGCTGCGGCGGCGGCGGCGGCAACCCCGCAGCGGAAGCGGCCGGCCCGGTCGGCGGTGGCGGAGGGAAAACGGTAGCGACTCCGCCCGGCGGCAGCGGCACCACCGCATCCGCGCCACCACCGTCGGCGAGTTGCTGACGGCAGCGCTCCAAGACG